CACGGAGGGCCAGTTGCAGGTGCTTGTCGGCTTGTTTGGAGCAGCAGCTGGTCACGAGATCGTTGCTCGGGCGCTGTCAGTACTTGGCAGGTACCAGGAGAAGGGCCTAAAAGCGCCGCAGATTTCACCATACGCTTTGGTGTCTGCTGCGATTGCCCTTACGGGCTTGGAGGACGTGGACGAGAAACGCGTCAGGTACACGAAGGCATTGGGCGAGAGGAGAGCAATCTCATTGGCAAATCTGCGCCAGCAGGAGTGCCTGATTGTGATGACGATGCCTGTGGAAGGGCAAGCTGGGCAGGAGTTTTGTAGAGTTGAAAGGGGCTGAAGATGGCCCTGGACAGCATAGGCCAGCGTTAAAAAAGGATTGAGCGTCTTGATGTCTGAGCCGGAGTTGAAGGCCTTCAAGCATTTTCAGGGTGGGCCCAAATTAACATCAGTTCCCATATATGGACGCACTGGCAGCAGTCTGAAACCTCGTGGACGGTTTTAAGAGGAGTGAGAGGGGGACAGAAATGCGGAGGGCTTCCCCCGACTGCCAGAGGTGCTTGTAGCTGATGCGCAACTGCTGCCCACCCGCCCACCCAGGCCACAGCGTGGCAGACGACATTGGCAGCGGGGTGCCCCAAATACAGGCTGATCTGAGGCTTCTCTTGCCAAATCCACACTTGGGCCGTTTCAGGAAGGTTGCAGTGCTCCGAAAAAGAAGGGTTCTGAGCCATGACCGGCAGAGGCCTAGGTGGGAATGTTTCAGACATGTTTCAGGCCAGTTTCAGACTCATCGAACGAGGGCTCTTCTCTTTGCCGGTGTGGAACCTGTTGGGCAGTGGAATGAGCTTCTGAGAAATCAGGGGCCACGGCAAGTGTTAGGGGGAATTGAGTTCAGCCACGCACTTGCAGCCAGTTTCCAGCGAGCAACTAATCGCGAAGCACGTCTTGGTGTGGCAGATTGCGTCAGAGCGTTGAATGACACTGTGAAGCCCGGTGAAAGCTCCCAACGTTGAATGACTCCGTGAAGCCCGGTGCAAGCTCCCTGCAGAGGTTGGAAACTGCCGCTCTTTGTGGGCGAGGCGTGAGTTGGAGGGGAGGTGTCTTGAGCTCTCTAGCCCTTATTCTGAACTCTCAAGCCCCTTGCCCGGGGCGTTTGGCAAGGGTCTGAAACGGGTTTGAAGCCGGCATGGAAATGTATATTCAAAGGTCTGGGCGACTTCGGCCCAGAAAGGCCTCAACGAAGAATTGTAGACATTGCCAGTTGGTGGGGGAGTGAAGCTCGATCGCCCGAAAGCTGGATGTGTCCCTCAGACTTCGGCCCCAGCCCAGCAAACGGATCACTAAGGGCAACATGATTTTGTTATTTTGACCCGTGACGTCTCATAGTTATCCAGGGAATCCGTATAACTACCAAGGCCTTTGCCAGGGGTGTCTGAGAGGGGCTCTGAAGCGGGATTGAAGCCTGCCAAGTTTGACTTCGCACAGCATCCCGCCAATGGGCGAGGCGTGAGTTGGAGGGGAGGGTGCTTGAGCTCTCTGGCCCCAATTCTGAACTTTCAAGCCCCTTTCCCGGAGCGTCTGACAGGGCCTTGAAACGGGTTTGAAACCGGCATGGATATGTATACTCAGAGGTCTGAGCGACTTCGGCCCAGAAAGACCATCCCCCCATTAATTTTTGCAATCGGGGGGGGGCTTCTTGTGCAATTGCAGTTTCGATTTCTGTCGCTTTCGAGCTGGCTGGTTTTGAAGGCCAGCCCATCAGTATTGGCCCACCTGTCACAGATATGTTTTTCTCATCGGGGTTCGTTTTGGTAATTGTTGCGGTCCACTTGGGTGAGAATAATTGTCCCAGACAACCTTATTCCAGTCTTGTTAAAAATGACCACCCGTCCCTAATCATGGAGAATTCGAATGAATTCGAGGGGTTTGGGGAGCAGAAAGAGGTCTGGGCCAATTGTCGCAGGTGGCTGGCCGGACCTGTTGGCGGCTGGCAAGCGGACAAGTCTGGGGCGGGTTGCGTGCGCTTACGCCACGTCCCGCCCCAGATGCTCTTTTTTACGGGGCTGGATGGACAAAGGCTTATAGATTCCATTTCCACAGGCTGTTTCCGACCAGCAGTTTCATAGGTAGACAATATGCAACATATCCAATTTTTCGGCGGCGGGGGTCTGGATTTCTTAATTTAAGAAATGCCCGGCTTTCCAGAGGTCTGGATTTCTTAGTTCATAAAATTTCTTAACATAATGCCCGACCGTAGCGCCTTTGCCTCCAAGCCTAAGCCTCTAAGCGCCTAAGTCGCAAAGCGCCGAAGCTGCTAGGCGCCGAAGCCGCTGAGCGCCGAAGCCGCTAAGCGCCAAAGCCTCTGAGCGCCAAAGCCTCTGAGCGCCTAAGCCTCTAAGCGCCTAAGCCTCTAAGCGCCTAAGCCTCTAAGCGCGTAAACCTCTAAGCGCCTAAGCGCTAAGCGCCTAAGCCTCTAAGCGCCTAAGCCTCTAGCGCCTTTGCCTCCAAGCGCCTAAGCCTCTAAGCGCCTAAGCCGCTAAGCGCCGAAGCTGCTAGGCGCCGAAGCCGCTGAGCGCCGAAGCCGCTAAGCGCCAAAGCCTCTGAGCGCCTAAGCCTCTAAGCGCCTAAGCCTCTAAGCGTTTGGAGGCTTAGAGGCTTAGAGGCTTAGGGGCTTAGGGGCGTGGAGGCTGGAAGGCTTGGAGGCTTAGAGGCTTAGGGGCGTGGAGGCTGGAAGGCTTGGAGGCTTAGAGGCTTAGAGGCTTAGGGGCGTGGAGGCTGGAAGGCTTGGAGGCTTAGAGGCTTAGAGGCTTAGGAGCGCGCAGGCCTAGAGGCGCAAGGACTGCAAAGGCTTACAAGCTTAGAGGCTTGGAGGCTTAGAGGCTTGTGTGCTTCAAGGGGCTTAGAGGCTTAGAAGCTTAGAAGCGTGTGGCGAATTTCAGACCCCATTTCCCAATGCACTGCAGGGTTTGAGAGTTTGTGTTTTCACAATTGAGGATGGTTCTGGCAGATTTTGGGGTTCCTGGGGTTGTTTAGGGTCGAGGAGGCACGGATTGGCGTTTCAGGCTTGGAGGTTGTTCAGGGCTTACTGTGTTGGAATCATGGGTTTGGACATTATGACAAGGGTTTGATTAGAGAGAGGGAGGGACATAGAGAGGTAGAGAGAGGAGGGGGGGAGAGAGGAGGGGGAGAGGGGGAGAGAGAGAGAGAGAGAGGGAGAGAGAGAGAGAGAGAGAGAGAGACACAGAGAGAGAGAGACACAGAGAGAGAGAGGGAGAGAGATGAGGGGGGAAGGGAGACAAAAGAGAGAGGAAAAAGGAGAAAAGGCCAATGTCGGCGGAGTGAGCCGGAGGCTCTACAGTATGCATCTGGTAACTACAAGCATCACGGGACGCAAGCAACAATTCGAGTCAGCCAAATGCTATCCATTTGTTCTGCGCAAATTTCCAAAGTAAGATGATCGGGTCCGAAATACTCCACAATTCAAGCGGTAAATATTGCATGTATAGATTGCAAAGCTTCGAGCAATCCCCATCTTGACCACATCTTAGCGGCAAAAACTTGAAAAGGGGGACGCTGATATGACCATCTTTGAGATAGGGCAAAATGTCAAGTTCACACTTCGGACCATGGAAGCGCACCAAAACAGCTAGTTTAACTCATAAGGCAAATAGGAAGGGCCCTGATCACGCTTGTAGAAGGTTCTCAAGGCACCTTGCTCGCCAGGTCCCATTGGCCAGGTGATATCATCACTTTCACGAAAAAGTCCAAGAACGATGGGTATGACTCTCGCATTGACTGCAAGTTCCAGAGCATGACTCCAGCGTTCACCGAATCCCTATTCATGTCACTCTCTGCAGACATCGCAAAGTAGCGGGGGAGTCCTGGTTTCCCCGGCTTTGCAAACTGTTGTTGTTTGTATGGTAGGCGCCGGATTTCTTTAAATATTCTCCTTGACACCCAACAACTTAGGCCAAGTCACGTCGTTTTGAAACAGAACATCAATGCCGGTATAAATTAGAAACGGATCCCAAAGGCCCAAAATTGGAATATCTATTCATGCCCCAGATCAGTTTGCCCTGATTGCTGTTTTGGATAGGCTTGGGGATTTGAACCCCTGTTTCTTGCAGAGGGTAACCTCCTGGCCACCCATCCGAACCACTCCTCAGACCCCCGGGCTCGCTGACTCCGATTGACGCGCCGTGGCGCGTCAGGGCCATGTGCCACAACGGCTGGGACCTGCACCTGGCGAGGCAGAGCCCCGAGGGCCCAATCCTCGAGGTCTTGCCATTAGCCTCGGACTCAGTCCGAGATGGCTAGACCAACCACTCAGTGTAAAGGGTATGTACCCGGTTTTCCCGGTTTGGTTGCGGGTAGTTGGAAACCATCTTAGACCCATATGGGGGTGTGTCGAAACAGGCACCTCCCCTAAAATGCATTGTGATTGCGCTTTTTAAACGGCCCTGAGCCACAAACACATGCACCCCAGTTTAAAATTTGTAGGGCTTTCCAGGTTGCCTTGCTGGTCCCCTCTCTATCGCATTTTTAGGGTGATTTGTGTATGTCACTTGAAGGGACTCACTTCTGATAGTTGACGGTAGCTGTTCTCAGAGTGGCCCTTTGTGTTCCCCAGACGGAAAACACAAGTTGTGCAAAAGGCGACTTAGGCCTACAGTGCGAAATAGGTATATACAGGATAAGTACATCAAGGCCACATGCTTGAGCCATCCATCCGCCTCATTTTGGTGAGGGGTCAGTCTCAGGTGCGGAGAACCTCTGGGCTTTGTCAATGTTTGGAGGGTTGACACTTGAGAAGGCGAACCTGCCAGGGGGCCTGCGTGGGCACCGGCCCCGGAAGAACGTCGGTTTCTGGGCCGGAAGACGTCGTCGTATGAGTGCCCGACGCGGGTTCGTTGCTCACAGCATTGCGGCTGAAAAGCAAAGAACAGATTGCGCAACGGGCGCCTGCGGCAACATCCGAGTCATGAGAAGGGTATTGGTCATAGGTCCGGGCCAGCAAGGCTGCACCAAAAAGGGCGGATGGCAGCGCGACATAGGCCAAAGTGCCTCATGTCGGAGGAGGAATGGGAGCTGTCTCGCTGGTGGCGAGAAGGCGGGCACCGAAGTTGCCTGATGGCTGCAATTGACCCGGCAGCTTGCCGCCCACTTGAAAATGCACAAGCCCGGAAAGGGTCGCTTTTTCCCCAAGAGCCACTGGGCGAACAGCGTTGTCCCCGGATCAATCAACCCTGCAGATGAATAGGCACGGTTGAACCCGCGTTCCCACAGTAGTGGGCAGGAGGGGTTGAAAGACTACCATCCGTATTTTAAGGCCCTACCAACAGGTGCTTTTCTTGGGGATTCCCAATTTCTGGTTTGTGGGTTCAAGTATTCTGCATACATTTCCCTCAAAACAAACATGGCCCCTAAAGAGGGTGTCTTCTAGAAGCTGGTCTTCCAGCGGCCCACCCTCTTTCAGGTTCTATGAGTGGGTGAACGGGTGCGGGCTTCCTTTGCTCTAACCTCCCCTTCACGGTCCACTAGGCTACACGCTTCAATGTTGTTCCCATTCTTGGGTGTTCAACCAACTCAGTAAGTTGCAGCCATGGCTACAACTGGGGTAACTGGGGTAAGTCCCTTTTGCACGGGTTGCCAGTTATAACCCTTACAACCTGCCGAGAACATCCAATGTGCCGTGCCAGGCCCGGGGTGTTTCGAGGACTCCGACGAGCCGGACGAGTTCGCCTTAACCCCGCGCCGCCACCAGCCGGACATGTTCGCCCCTCGGCGGCAGAAAGCTGGCAGTTGGCGGCGCCGTGGGGCCTATGACTGAGTGTGTGTGTGTGTGTGAGTGTGTGTGTGTGAGTGTGTGTTTGCTTGTGCGTGTGTTTGCTTGCCGACTTGTTTGCGTGCCGTCTTGCTTTATTTCTTTCTTGGTTTATATTTATTAATTTCTTTCTTTATGTCGGTTTTTTGTTCTTTTGTTATTTTCTTTCTGTCTTTATTTATTTATTTATTTATTTATTTATTTATTTGTTTCTTTATGTTTTTTGTTTTTATTTATTTTCTTTCTTCGTTCTTTTCGTTATTTCTTTCTCTATGTATGTTCTTGTAGTTGTTTCTTTATTTCTTTGTTTCTTTCTTTTCTTTTTTTCCTTTTTGTGTTTCTTTCTTTATTTGTTTCCTTCTTTCTTTCTTTCTTTTCTTTTTTTTCCTTTTTGTGTTTCTTTCTTTCTTTCTTTCTGTCTTTCTTTCTTTCTTTCTTTCTTTCTGTCTTTCTTTCTTTTCTTGTTTTCATGTTTGTGTTTCTTTCTTTCTTTTCTTTTTTCCTTTTTGTGTTTATTTCTTTCTTTCTTTCTTTCTTTCTGTCTGTCTTTCTTTCTTTCTTTCTTTCTTTCTGTCTTTCTTTCTTTCTTTCTTTCTTTCTTTCTTTCTTTCTTTCTTTCTTTCTTTCCTTCTTTCCTTCTTTCTGTCTTTATTTTTCTTTCTTTCTTTCTTTTTTCTTTCTTTTCCTTTCTTTCTTTCTTTCTTTCTTTCTTTCCTTCTTTCTTGCTTTCCTTCTTTATTTTGTTCTGTGGTTGTTGTTTCTTTCGTTGTTGCTTGTTTGATTATTTGGTTGGTTCGTTGGTTGCTTGGTGGCTTAGCTGCTTTGTTATTTGGTCGTGTTGTTCGTTTTGCTCGGTTGTAACATGAGCTGGTTTCTGTTTGGTTTGGTTTCTTTGCCTTGGTTATTTGTCTGGCTTGATGTGGTTGGTGTGGGTTGGTTTGGTTGTTGGTTTTGTTTGCTTTCTGTTTGTTTGGTTGGTTGGCTGGTTGGTTGGTTGGTTATTTGTGTCTGCTTGCTTGTGTTTGCTTGTTTGTTTGTTTGTTTGTTTGTTTGCTTGTTTTGTTTGGTTGTTGGGGTTCGTTTGTTTGTTTGTTTATGTATTTTTTGTTTGTTTGTTTGTTCCCTCATTTGCTCACTCGTTTTTGCGTGTGTGTGTGTGTGTGGGTGCGTGCGTGCGTGCGTGCGTGCGTGCGTGCGTGCGTGCGTGCGTGCGTGCGTGCGTGCGTGCGTGCGTGCGTGCGTGCGTGCGTGCGTGCGTGCGTGCGTGCGTGCGTGCGTGCGTGCGTGCGTGCGTGCGTGCGTGCGTGCGTGCGTGCGTGCGTGCGTGCGTGCGTGCGTGCGTGCGTGCGTGCGTGCGTGCGGGTGTGCCCGTGCCGTGTGCGCGTCGCGTAGGCGCGGGCGCTTGCGCGCGGGCGCGGCAGGATCGATCGTCCGGGTGGGTGGTGGGGTGGTGGGTGGTGGGTGGGTGGGGTTGGTGGGTGGGTGGTGGGTGGTGGGTTGGTGGGTGGGTTGGGTGGGTGGTGTGGGTGGGTGGGTTGGGTGGGGTGGGTGGGTGGGTTGGTGGTGGGTGGGTGGTGGGTGGGTGGTGGGTGTGGGTGGGTGATGGGTGGGTGGTGGGGGTGGTGGTGGGTGGGTGGGTGGGTGGTGGTGTGTGGTGTGTGCGGGTGGCGTGCGTACGTGCGCGTGGCGAGTGGCGTGTTGCGGGCGTGTGCGTGTGCTGTGCGTGTGGGTGTGCGGTGCGTGGTGCGTGTGCGTGTGCGTGTGCGTGCTGTGCGTGTTGCGGGGGTGGGCGGGGGGCGTGTGTGTGTTGCGTGTGTGTGTCCGTGTGTGTGCGTGTGAGCGCGTGTGTGCGCGTGTGTGCGCGTGTGCGCGCGTGTCTGCGCGTGTGTGCGCGTGTCTGCGCATGTGCGCGCGTGTGTGCGCGTGTGCGCGTGTGTGCGCGTGCGCGCGGGTGTGCGCGGGTGTGCGCGTGTGTGCGCGTGTGTGCGCGTGTGTGTGCGCGTCTGTGCGCGTGTGTGCGCGTGTGTGCGCGTGTGTGCGCGTGTGGCGCGTGTGTGCGCGTGTGTGCGCGTGTGTGCGCGTGTGTGCGCGTGTGTGCGCGTGTGTGCGCGTGTGTGCGCGTGTGTGCGCGTGGGTGCGCGTGTGTGCGCGTGTGTGCGCGTGTGTGCGCGTGTGCGCGTGTGTGCGTGTGTGCGTGTGTGCGTGTGTGCGTGTGTGCGTGTGCGTGTGTGTGTGTGCGCGGGTGTTTGCGTTTGTGTCTGAGTCTGTGTCTGTGTGTTTGTCTCTGTGTGTGTGCGCATTTGTCGTTCTGCCAGTCCGTCTTTTTTGTTTGTTTGGTTGTTTGTTTATTTGTTTTGGTAGTTACCCGCTCCAGGTGGATTTAAAGGGAAACACCACCATAAAATTTCAAGAAGTCCCCATAGTTCGACACATATCCATGCCGCCTGTAGGGGCTGAGTTGACATACCCACCAGACAAGGGTCCCTTTCACTTCCGCGCAAAACAACGCCAAGCAAATTGCAAACGGCGCGCCCATATGCTGCAATCACTCTGCCCTTTAGACGGACTTGTTTCCAAACAGCTTGTGTCAAAACACGGACCCCCCCAAAAAAAAACGGTGGTTGTCCTTTTGGTCTCCCCCTGCACCAGCCCGCGAGATTTTCAACATCAACCTCTATCACAGGCCATCGAGGCGGAGTTCGCAGACTGGCAGCCCTCCAAAGGCACGGCACGAAGGGCTTCCGGACTCCTCTTTTCTGCCTTGCCACTTTCTTGCAGGCCGTTGAAATGGGTCCTTTTTGGGGTTTAGGTGGTGTTGGAGGGAGGGAAAAGGGGGGGGCTATCCGATGCGCTGTGCGCAGGTGCCTACGACCTCTCCCCTCGCAATAGCCCTCAGAAAGAGCTCTACCAGCTGGAGGAGGAGGAGAAGCTGGGCCTGATTTGCAGGAGGTCAAGACAAGGCAAAGACATTAGACATGAGAATGTGTCACAGGTCCCTTGGATACCCTTGGGACTTTTAAATGAAAATGGTCATTAGCAGTCTCATTGGTGTTGATGCCATTTTTTGCGCCAAGGAACGCCTACATTTCCGCGGTGCAGTTACTGAAGGAGATGGGGCCTGGACGAGCGGAGGCACCAGATCTGAAGAGGTGTGTGCCTCTGTTTTGCGCCTAGGTTTCTTCATCTTTGTTTCTCATGAGGTTTGGCATTGCTTTTCAAACATGGATTTTGGGGAGAACGCTCTCCGATAGAAGGCTATGCTTCCATTCAGGGAACAACTGCATCCTTTGGTGGGGTCATAGCTTGCTGTGTCAGGTCGTTGGATTTGAGCTTGTGCCATGGGGATCCTGGTTTGAAGCTCACACTTGTGATTGTGTGAGAGCATACTTAGGATTTGCCGGTGTAATCCATCTCGGCCTTTCTTTTTGTAGAAGCGTGTGCCATCGAGATGCAGGCTTGAACCGCACTACTGCTGTGACGCAAATCAACTTTTGGCCAAGTGTTTGCAGCGACTCCAGCCGACATGCTGTGACTTAATCCCATCACTAACACGACCCTTTGCAACACAGAGCGTGTTGCCCATGGAGCACACTGTGCCGCCGCGCTTTTGAAGAACGCCCTTGACTTTGGGCAGTTTACAAGCGCCTGACAGACCAAGTGCTGCAGCCTCATCCATGATGAAATATCCGATCTTGGCATGCCATTACTTCATTTGTCTAATTCACCCCAGGTGGACAGGGAGCCCTTCACAGTTTGCAAACATAAATTGAATATTTGAACAGGTAACTGGGAAACCACCAATGCAAACGTATCTGCCTCACGGCCAGCGCAGGCGGAAGCCGTGTGGAAGACCTGTGTCCTGCGTGGCTTGGCACCGTCCGTGCTGCAACATGATTTTAGAGGACCTTCGCCCAACAGCGATGCTTGCTTATGGGTTCTCGTGGAATATGTGGTAGCAGAATTTCTGACTTGCCGTAGGCTGTCTACAGCACGACCTGCAGCTTGCTTGGGCCACACAGCCGGTGGTGCCTTTCGCTTGGGGCAGCCGACCCAAAGCCCAAAACCCAAAACCAACACTCTATCACATGTTTGCACCCACCACCACATCCGCAATGAGCACGAGGAACGCAAAGCAGAAGCAACATCCTGTACTTGGGCTTGCGGTTGCGTCCTCATGAGTGGAGATGCCTGAGAGCATTGTAAAGACCAAACCTGTTTGGTTCACCTTTCTGATTCTTGCATCGGATCAGTTTGAGCGTGCCTTTTGCATTTGCCACTGTCACAGTTGAACCCACGACTGTTCGAAATCACAGCGGAACATTCAAGCTAGGGTTCTAGTTGACATCCTCATCGTTGTTCATTCAAAAATTCGAGCTTTCGCTGTTGACTGTTCCCTTGCCAGGGTTGATCCATCGTCCGCTGTTCAGGGAAGAGACCCTCCCAACGCAAGGCTGTTTCAACAGCAACCAACGCCAAATGGTTCAGCACCCTTTTTCCCCGGCCACAAATTGTGTTTGCGTCAACCCCAAAAAGTTTGTGCCTTTTTCCCGCCTCCGTGCAACTGGGAAACTCGCTGGGCCCAGTTCAGGTGAGAAGCTGCGCCTGGTGCGGTCCATGGCAGGCGAGCGCAGGCCGCCTTCCCGCGAGGCCCGGCCTGTTGGCATGTCCGTTTTTGTTTTCCCCGTTTAGACGGAGGGGGCCCCCTTTGGACTTAGCGACAAAGGAGTTTTCTTTTTTTGACATGGCCACTGGAGGTCTGGGAGGACAGTCAAACCAAATTAAGTAATTCGCAGCACGGTATATGACCCCCACTTGCAAGTCTTTGGCAGTGTTTGTTTTGTTGTGCGTTAGTACAGCCTATGCAGCACCCAGATGAACTCCCCGAAACCAAGAGGCCATGGGTATTCTGCATTTCTGCCAGACCCCCTACTTGAATCCCGGCAACCCAGGTGTTTCCAAATATGAAAGAGAGGTGGCTGGACTTGCTTGTAGGTGCCTAACACATGATACATCACATACACACCTAGGAGAACAGGCTGGGGCACTGTTTTTTTCTAGTGGGATTTTGTGTACCCCATTATGTTTGGATGACGGGACAGATGGTATGAATTCCGTGCGATCATACTGAAACAACAACCCGGCATCGGTGTGCTGCAAATGAGGGGCAGGAAGCTGACTGCAATGGAAGGGACGTTGTTTTCGAAAGGCAAGCAGATTGTTGAAAGCATTTGCGAGTCGCGTGAGTATGTGAAAATCGGGGAGCCCTC